AAAGAGGGAGGAGGCTAGTTATCCTGCCAGTAAGATTGTGTTTAAAAAAAAAATGAAACGTTGTGAAAGAGAAGAGGCATAGACTGTAAACAGTCACCACATGTATTTTTTAAATAAATGTATTGTGCATAAGTATGTATATAAGCAACACAGGTATAAGAAGGCATCCATAACATTGCCTTTATAACCTTGGGAAACACTAAAATATTGGGGGTAAAAGAGGACTTAGCAGTCTCGAACAGCTTATTATGAATGATTCATAACGCGAGAAGCACCCTGCCTGCCGAGTTTTGTTCACCTTCCATTTCCACAGTGCACTATGCTGTCTCTCACCTCCAGGCATTTATTCTGAGGTCCTAGACTACTACTCCAACCTCTTTCATGATCCAATGGTGTGCTGGAAAAGTCTTTTTTGACTCTCAAACATGGGTTGCAGGCACACATACCCTTAAGTGTCTGACGATCACTAAATTTACAAGTTTTGAAGTTAACTGCTCAGCTGTCCTGCACAGGAATCCAAGCAATAACCCAGAAAATGTATCTAATGTTTTAAATTGATCCTTTTTTTCTGAGCGTATGATAAGAAAGAGATGGACGTTACTTGTATCAAGAGCAACAACAACATTTGATTTATGCCTTAAACAATTCAACAAAAATTTCGTAGCAGCTGCTATCAGGTTACGTGTATTTACACCATTCTCATTGGTTCTGAGAAAAATATTTCTGCTTTTAAGTATTTACTTCTGCAGTGTCTTAAAACTGTGGGAGTCATTCACTCCATCAACTTAAAAGTCATCAGTGAACATAAACAACTTGAGTTTTGAGCAAGTGCGGGAACTGCCTAGGCCTCTGAGCGTCGCTGTTGACCACCTAAGGAGTAAAAGCTGCAGACATCCAATCCACGTAATCGCTCCCGCAACACAAAGGGCTGGGCGTTTGTCCCGCAGCTTCCGGAGGGCAAAGAAATTCAGCTGCCCGTTAGTTCTCTCTACCGTGACCTGGGTCCGGTAAATATTGGTCGTCTCATACACTGGGGAATAAAGATTGGGCTGCCTCACCGGGTTCTGGAAGTTGGTTGGAAGAAAACACAGCTTCACCAGGGAATGGCGGCGCTGCAAAAGTTACTCCAGGGCAGAAAGCTGGTGCTGCTGTGCGTCCTTATGGCCGCCCAGTGGGAGGCCGGAGCTGGCCAGATTCGCTATTCCGTGCGGGAGGAGATTGACAGAGGCTCCTTCGTGGGCAACATCGCCAAGGACTTGGGTTGGGAGCCTCTGGCTCTGGCAGAACGAGGAGTCCGCATCGTCTCCAGAGGTAGGACGCAGCTCTTTGCTCTGAACCCGCGAAGTGGCAGCCTGGTCACAGCAGACAGGATAGACCGCGAGGAGCTCTGCGCTCAGAGTGCGCGGTGCCTGGTGAACTTTAACATACTACTGGAAGATAAATTGACTGTTTATTCAGTAGAGGTGGAGATAACAGATATTAACGACAATGCCCCTCGCTTTGGCGTAGAGGAACCGGAACTAAAAATCAGTGAAACTACTACACCAGGATTCAGGATTCCTCTTAAGAGTGCACATGATGCGGACGTAGGAGAGAACACCCTCCAGAAATATGAACTCAACTCAAATGACCACTTCTCTCTAGATGTGCGAATTGGAGCTGATGGGAACAAGTACCCAGAGCTGGTGCTGGAGCATGCTCTTGACCGCGAGGAAGAGGCGGTTCACCATTTGGTTCTTGTTGCATCTGATGGTGGAAACCCAGTCCGATCTGGCACCTGCCGCATCCGTGTGAAGGTCCTGGATGCAAACGACAACCCTCCGGTTTTTATACAGCCAGAGTACCGTGTGAGTGTTCTGGAAAATGTGCCCATCGGCACCCGGATACTCACGGTAACAGCCACTGACACAGATGAGGGATACAACGCTCAAGTGGCTTATTTTCAAGAGCAAACCCCTGGAGAAACCTCGGAAGTGTTTGAGCTAAAGTCAACATCAGGAGATATAACCATCATAAAAAGTCTGGATTATGAGAATGCTAAATTCCATGAAATCGATATTGAAGCTCAGGATGGGCCCGGCCTTATCACCAGAGCAAAGGTTATTGTCACCATTCTAGACGTCAATGACAACGCCCCAGAGTTTTACATGACATCTGCCAGCTCCTCAATTCCTGAAGACTCTCCTCCAGGAACCATAATTGCGCTTTTCAATGTCCATGATAGAGACTCCGGGCAGAATGCTTTTATCACATGTTCACTCCCAGAGAAACTTCCTTTCAAGTTAGAAAGGTCAGTGGACAATTACTACCGTCTGGTTACAACCAGCACCCTTGACAGGGAACAGTTTTCCTTTTACAACATCACTCTAAGTGCTAAAGATGGAGGAAACCCACCTCTGTCCACAGATGCTCACCTTTTGCTGCAGGTAGCAGATATCAACGACAACCCACCCATCTTCTCCCAGATGTCCTACTCCGCCTACATTCCTGAAAACAACCCCAGAGGCACCTCCATCTTTTCAGTGTTGGCCCATGACCCTGACAGTAATGACAATGCCCACATAACTTACTCTTTAGCTGAAGACACCTTTCAAGGAGTTCCCCTGTCCTCTTATATCTCCATCAATTCTGATACTGGAGTCCTCTACGCTTTACAGTCCTTTGACTATGAGCAATTCCAAGACTTGCAGCTGTGGGTGATAGCAGTGGACAGCGGGAACCCTCCACTCAGTAGCAATGTATCATTGAGCCTGTTCTTGATGGACCAGAATGACAATATGCCTGAGATACTGTACCCTGCCCTCCCCACAGATGGATCCACTGGTGTGGAGCTGGCACCCCGCTCTGCAGAGCCTGGCTACCTGGTGACCAAAGTGGTGGCAGTAGACAAGGATGTGGGACAGAATGCCTGGCTATCCTACTGCCTGCTCAAGGCCAGTGAGCCAGGACTTTTCTTGGTAGGGCTGCACACAGGTGAGGTGCGTATAGCAAGGACCTTGTTGGACAGAGATGCTCTCAAGCAGAGCCTGGTAGTGGCTGTGCAGGACCACGGCCAACCTCCTCTCTCAGCCACTGTCACACTCACCATAGCAGTAGCTGACAGCATCCCTGAGGTCCTGGCTGACTTGAGCAGCATCAGGACCCCAACCAATTCTAACGATTCAGATCTCACACTCTACCTAGTGGTGGCTGTGGCTGTGGTCTCCTGTGTTTTCTTGGCCTTTGTCATCATACTCCTGACGCTCAGGCTGCGGCACTGGCATGTGTCTCGCATGCTTCAGGCTTCAAGAGACAGGTTGGGAGGCATCCCTGCCTCACACTTTGTGGGAGTAGATGGAGTAAGTACTTTTCTGCAAACCTATTCCCATGAAGTCTCACTCACTGCAGACTCAGGGAAAAGCCACATCATCTTTCCTCAACCAAACTATGCAGATACTCTCATCAGCCAGGAGAACTGTGAGAAAAAGGATTTTTTTTCAGCACCTCAATCTCTACTTGATGATAAAAGAGAAGAAAACCCTCAGGTAAAGTATTTTTTCACAACATGTTTATGTTATTTTGCTAAAATAAATTGCCTGTTTTCTTAGTTGCACTAGATATTTAATATTTCTGTTTTATTCCCTGTGTTTCCTTGAAGGTATATTGAATTTTTAGTGAGTCCTAGTGAACTATTCCTCAGTAGTTTAAGTGCTCACAGGCTATGAGAGAGAGAGAGAGAAGCTAGAATCATTGTGTATGGAATGAAAATCAGGAATTAATGGGTGATGATGATAAATTAGATTATCAAAAAAACACTGTATTGGGAGCTGAACTAACTTTCTCATAGTTTTCCATTCCTGGGTCAATGATTCTTTAAAAATATGAAGATTAGAGCTGGTCATGTTACTCAGTGATAGAATACCTGCCTACCAAACACAAGGCCTTGAAATGGGTCCCCAGCACTGCAATATTTGTGTATTATATGATGCATATATGTGTGTGATTACTATACACAATGTTTACATTTATATGGCAATTTTATATTAACTCCAGTCTCTTCCTCCTTTAAAAATAGAAGACTTGCTTTATATTTAAATCTGTATGAATTGTGAAGCACGTTTCTTGGTTCTTTCTCACTTGGTCTTAATGTTTTTCCCTCAGTTTGGCAGGAAAATTATTCAGTTTCCTTAATTAGCATGCCAATACCTATTTTAAAAAGGAAATTTTAGTTGGGTGTGGTGGCCCACACTTTTAATCCCAGCACCAGGGAGGCAGAGGCAGGCAGATTTCTGTGAGTTTGAGGCCAGACAGGAGTACAAAGTAAGATATTGTCTCAACCAAACATAAGCCGATATTTTAGAAATACATGTTTTTTTTATGTTAGTAATCAAACCCAGGACCTTGTACATGACAGGCAAGCACTCTAACACTAAGCTTGGGATGGGCAAGGAAAAGTATCTTGGGATTCTTGGGATGTATCCCAAGCACATGTGCTCTATATTGAACTCAGGGCCTCATTTTGCATGCACTTTGGCACTGAGTAACATCTCCATCCCAGAGATGTATATTCCTTACAGAATTTCAGAATGATGTAGCATCTCTGCTTAGCTGAAATTGACAACAGCTTCTATAAAGTAGCTTTGTGCTACTTGAGGGACTACTCACACTATACTAAGTTGGAAAGTAATAGCAAACAGCTTTTTCTTCCCTGATACTATTTTCTCATATCCAGACACCTATTACCTAGATGCCTTTTTACCTTGAAAAATAATTTTGTCTTCAATATAACTTTGCTTAAAGAACAGATAGAAGGGATTCAGAAAACATCACACAATTCCTCTCCTCTTAAAAGTTTCCTGTCTGGTGAAGATGCCAAAAATGTTCTCATTCACAGACTCTCTCACAGTTTTCCTTCTCCATTCCTCCTCTCTGTTGGTTTTTAGTATGTTGATCACATATCATATATTTAATAACAATGAGCCTGCTACATACTAGTTGAAACTTGTATTAGGTAGCTTCACATTTCCTATGGTTCTTGGGATTCTTTATTCTATCTAAGAGCATCTGACAAGAGAAACATTGAGACAGTGTATTGCAGTGTGCTTGTTAGTATGGTGTAGGTCTCAATTTCTATTTCTGAGCTTGAAGAAGAGAGCATGAAAGGAAAAGAATTGTGACTATAAAAACAAGAGTTTATTTTTACCAGTTTCAGTTGTGATTTTAAAAAACACATTCTAAAACTACATTTAGGCAAGGTGAACTTCTTTCAGTGACTTGAGGTCTGCAATGTCTCTCACATACAAGCTTTTTTCCTGGTTCACTCTTCTCATGTTTCCTGGAAAGGCCTTTGCTAACTCCAAAACTAGGCTGGAGATCTCCTCATCCTCCTTGGCATCTCCCAGTGTAGTACTTATTTAATGCACTGTTAAGTCCCCATTTGCTTTTAAAAACATGTCCATAAGCTCTTCGGCTTTGTGATTGTGTCTATATAATTCACATTAAATCTTCAAACAGGCATATTGTCTGAAACTCAATCATGTGATTATTTAACGAATCAGTTAAGTTAAAAATATTAAAACTGTTAGGTCAATTAGGCTCCATTGGATGGCCCCACACACCGAAGTTCATGGACAACACAAATTGGAGTGAGCCTGTGGGCTCTTAAATAAAAAAAATAAAATAAAATAAAAAAAAAAGAGGACATGAAGTTGGGTGGATAATGAGGTGGGGGGATCTGAGAGGAGCTGGGGGGGCGTTGGAGTAAATAATATTAAAATACATTGTATGAAATTGTCAATGAAATAATAAAATGTCTATTATTAAAACTGGCAAACTTCAAGAATTATAAACATGGCTGATATTTTTGTGTAACTGTTAAACTGAACCTTTGGAGAACAGTAACTCCATTAAGCTTGAGACAATACTGGTGGAGTTAAGGTTAGAGTATGGCTTCCCAAGAAAGATAACTTGAAGCCACACCCTTCAATATATGTGAGTCCAGCTATATGAAAACAATACAAGCCCCTTTGTCTCTTGAGAAAAGGATTTCAGGAGACGAAAAACAAACTTGGGTTTGCCTGAAAGTGTGCAGTAAACTGCTAGGCCTCTAGGTGTCGCTGTTGACCACTCAAGAAGAAAAGCCGCAGCCGAAAGCTAGTCCACCATTTCTGAGCTGCTAAAACGCAAAGCAGAAAGACTGAGAAGACTGAAGGGTTGGTTACTAAGCTCACCTAATCTACCAGCTCTGTGATTTCCATGGAAGACTTAATTCCTTGAGGGTATAAGACTGAAGCCCACCTTGGGAAACTGGAATAGAATTCAGGAAAACAATTCAAAAAGAAAATGACCAACCGCCTGAGATTCCGAACCGCCAGGGGACCGGCTCTGCTGTGCGCACTCCTGGGGACAGTGTGTGAGATCGGATTTGGGCTGATCCACTACTCAGTGCCGGAAGAGCTGGAGAAAGGCTCCTTCGTGGGCAGCATCGCCAAGGACCTGGGACTGGAGCCACAGGAGCTGGCGGAGCGCAAAGTCCGCATCGTCTCCAGAGGTAGGTCGCAGCTTTTCTCCCTGAACCCGCGGAGCGGCAGCCTGGTCACCGCCGGCAGGATAGACCGCGAGGAGCTCTGCGCTCAGAGTGCACAGTGTGCTGTGAACTTTAATGTCCTGGTTGAGGACAAGTTGAAAATATTTGAAGTAGAAGTAGACATTAGCGATATAAATGATAATGCTCCTAGTTTTCCAACAGAGGAATTGGAGATAAAGATTGGTGAACTAACAGTTCCTGGAACTCGATTTCCACTCAAAACTGCATTTGACCCAGATGTAGGCATGAACTCATTACAGAACTACAACCTCAGTCCCAGTGACTACTTCTCCTTAGCTGTGAACAGTGTCTCTGATGATGCCAAGTACCCAGAGCTGGTGGTGGAACGAGCCCTGGATCGTGAGAAAAAGGAGGTTCATCAGCTTGATCTCACTGCCTCTGATGGTGGAGACCCTGTTCATTCTGGCAAGTTGTGCATCCAAGTGATAGTTTTGGATGCAAATGACAATCCACCAGTGTTTACTCAGTCAGAGTACCATGTCAATGTTCTGGAAAATGTGCCAGTGGGCACCAAGCTGATCACAGTGAATGCCACTGATCCTGATGAGGGATTCAACGCTCAAGTGTCTTATATTCTAGATAAAATGCCTGGGAAAATTGCTCAGGTTTTCCATCTCAATTCGGTGACTGGAGAAATATCAATATCAAAAAGCCTAGATTATGAGGATGCTGTGTTCTATGAAATTAAAATTGAAGCACAAGATGGACCAGGTCTGTTTTCAAGAGCCAAGATTCTAATCACAGTCCTGGATGTGAATGACAATACTCCAGAAGTTACAATCACTTCCCTCACAAGCTCAGTCCCAGAAGAGGCTACAGCTGGAAGAGAAATTGCTCTTATCAATGTGCATGACCGAGATTCTGGCCAGAATGGGCAAGTCACAGTTTTTGTCCTGGGAAATCTGCCATTTAGCTTAGAAAAATCAATAGGCCAATACTACCGCTTAGTGACAGCCAAATCTCTGGATCGTGAACAGGTATCTCAATATAATATCAGTCTAAGAGCCACAGATGGGGGAAGTCCGCCGCTATCCACAGAAACTCACATCACTCTGGATGTGGCAGACATTAATGACAACCCTCCCACCTTCACTCATGCCTCCTATTCTGCCTACATTCCAGAAAACAACCCTAGGGGAGCCTCTATCTTTACTGTTATGGCTCAGGACCCAGACACTGACAACAATGCACACGTTACTTATTCATTGATTGAGGACACACTGCAGGGAGTGTCACTGTCATCCTATATCTCTATCAACTCCAATACTGGTGTCCTGTATGCGCTTTGCTCCTTTGATTATGAGCAGTTTAGAGACCTGCAGGTGCAGGTGACAGCCAGTGACAGTGGGGACCCTCCACTCAGCAGCAATGTGTCACTGAACCTGTTTGTGCTGGACCAGAATGACAACATGCCTGAAATCCTGTACCCCACCCTTCCTACAGATGGTTCCACAGGTGTTGAGCTTGCACCCCGCTCTGCAGATCCTGGATACCTGGTGACCAAGGTGGTGGCAGTGGACAGGGACTCAGGACAGAACGCCTGGTTGTCCTACCGCCTGCTCAAGGCTAGTGAGCCTGGACTTTTCTCAGTGGGGCTGCACACAGGCGAAGTGCACACTGTGCGGGCCCTGCTTGACAGAGATGCCCTCAAACAGAGTATAGTGGTGGCTGTGCAGGACCATGGCCAACCTCCTCTCTCTGCCACAGTCACACTCACCATAGCAGTGGCTGACAGCATTCCTGATATCCTGGGGGACCTGGGCAGCATCCATACCCCTGTGGACCCCAAAGATTCAAATCTCACACTCTATCTGGTGGTGGCAGTAGCTGCGGTCTCCTGCATCTTCCTGGCTTTTGTCATTGTGCTGCTGGTGCTCAGGTTGCAGCGCTGGCACTCATCACGCCTGCTCCAGGCTGCAGGAAATGGATTAGCAGGCATGCCAGCCTCTCACTTTGTAGGCCTGGATGGGGTGCAAGCGTTCCTGCAGACATATTCTCACGAGGTTTCCCTCACCACTGGCTCTGGCTCTCGGAAGAGTCACCTGATCTTCCCACAGCCCAACTATGTGGACACACTTATCAGCCAGGAGAGCTGTGGGAAAAGTGAGCCTTTATTGGTATCTCAAGATTTACTCGAAACAAAAGAAGACCCCAAACTGCTTGAGGTGAGTTTATTTATTTCTTCAAGTATTGTGAACATTTACACCAGTGTGGTTATTATAAAACTTTAACATTTATTTTAGAAATAAGGCAAGGATGTGATTGTGCATTCTGCTTTCTGCTTTCTATATATGTCCCTCTCTCCTTCAAGGCCTATGGGAAGACTGCACTTCCTGGCCTTGTTCCTGCAGAGTGGGCCTAAGTAACTAGTTCTGGCCAATACATTGTGAGAGTAACATGTACTTCCTGGAGGAAACTCTAATTGTCATTGTGAGAATTCCAGATCGCTCCCTTACCCTTTGAAATTGTGGTTGCTCCTTTTGCCTATGTCCTTGAGTAACTCTAATGAGAGAAGAGTCCCATAGTTGACCCAACAATGGTCTATACACCTGTGATAAATGGAATTTTCACTATTTACTTATTGTTTTGGTGCTGGGGTGGAACCCAGGGGCTTGAAACATGCTCAGTCGCTCAACCACTGAGCTCAACCACTGAGCTGTACTTCAGCCTGCCTTTTACATTATAAATCCATGTGATTTGAGCTTTGTCACTCCTACCTATATAGCCTATCCTGACTGTCACAAACAAGTGAAAAGTATAAATATGAAGTATTTTATGCTCTCAAAATGTTCTTTGGCTTTTTCCAAGCCAGACCACACTCTTCATCTCAAGGACATAAAATTTTTGAAATAAGAAATGAGGGAACAGCCGGGCGTGGTGGCACATGCCTTTAATCCCAGCACTTGGGAGGCAGAGACAGGCAGATCTCTGTGAGTTCAAGGCCAGCCTGGTGTACATAGTGAGTTCCAGGACAGCTGGGGCTACAGGGAGACCCTGCCTCAAAAAAAAAAGACAAAAAAAAAGAAATGAGGAAACAAGGTATAATAATATCTTGTAGTCTCAGCTACTCTGGAAACTATGAAAGTAGAATCAGTCAAGTCCAGGAGTTCAAGACCAACCTGGACAGCATAGACAGAACTGGAGAGAGAGAGAGAGAGAGAGAGAGAGAGAGAGAGAGAGAGAGAGAGAGATTAATCAAATGATTAAACCTTTAGTGCCTAAAATTTGTATTGTGTTCATATTGAATCCATCTTTTTAAAAAATATATTTTATTTACTATTTTTATTTTATGTGTATGCATGTATTGCCTGCATGTAAGTGCACCCATGTTGCGCAATGCCCATGGAGGACAGAAGAAGCTGTTGGATCAACTGGAACTGTAGTTACAGATAGTTGTTAGCTGCCATGTGGGTGCTGGGATTCGAACCCAGGTCTTCTGCAAGAACAGCCAGCGTTCTTAACCACTGAGACATCTCTCCAGCCCCTGAATCCATCTTTTATCTGAAGGCAGAAGTTTATCTGCCTAAACCATTATGAGTCATGAACTGGTATTTATCACCATTTCAGAAGGTTTTTTAAAGCAGAGATATATGTAGCTATATCACTCTTGTATATCTACCCAAAGAACTATAAGTTAACATATCACAGAGACACTTGCACATCAGTGTTTATTGCAGCATGTTTCACAATAGATAAGTTATGGAACCAACCTAGATGTCCACCAACAATAGAGTGAATAAAGAAAATGTGGTATATATGTACACAATGGAGTTTTTCGACCATAAAGGAAAATGAAGTTTTGTGATTTGCAAGAAAATGAATGTAACTGGATATAGCCATATTAAGCAAATTAAGTCAGTCTCAGAAACTCAAACATCATGTTTTCTCTTATCCATGGATTCTAGATTTTATAGAGAGACATAAAATCACATATGTATGTATATATTTCATAAAAGTAGGAATGACAATGTCTGGAGGGGGAGGAGAGAAAAAGGAGGCTGCAGGGCTAGAGGGGAAGGGGAGAGAAAAGGGAAGTTGTGGGGCTGGAGAAGCGTGTGCCCAACATATGTATACTTGTATGAAAATGTCCTTCTGTAATCCACATACAATAATATACAGCAACTCAAAAATATTATTTCAAAAAAGAAAGATATATTTCTCAGTCTCTGCAAGAGATTTCTACCTATTCCAGCAATGAAATAGGAGCCCTGATCATGTTCTGTAACTTTCTTTCACCAGAAGTTTGGGGCCAAAATCTCAAATCTATGAAATTTTCACTCATGTAGCTACAAAAGGAGGTCATCCAATAATGAACCAAAATTTATTTCATTAGCTCTCAAAGGGACAAATTTCCCCCTCGATATATTAGGAAAAGCTGGCTCACACCTTTAATCCCAGCATTTGGAAGGCAGAGACAAGTGGATCTCTGTGGCTTTGAGGCTAACCTGGTCTACATAGGGCATTCCAGGCCAGTCAGAGCTACATAGTTAGACACTGTCTCAAAAAAAATAGGAAATGACAGCATTCAAATATGTGAGTCAGCTGGACGGGGTGGTGCACGCCTTTAGTCCCAGCACTCAGGAGGCAGAGACAGGCAGATCTCTGTGAGTTCAAGACCAGCCTGCCTGGACTACATAGTGAGTTCCAGGACATCTGGGGCTACAGGGAGACCCTGTCTCAAAAAGACCAAAAAAATGTGTGAGTCAATAGAGTCTGAAGAAGATATTCATAAGCATAAAAAGCATATTTTCACTCAAACATCCATGTATATCACAGAATTTTTAAAGGACCGTAAAGGCATTAAGCAGGGAAAACAAGAAAGGATATCTTAGGAAAGCAGATGATATTGTATTTGTACTAGAGGATGGTTGAGTACTTCAAAATAGTAGAGTAAATCATTGAATTGAAAACTGTCTTAGTTTATTTTTGTTACTATACAAAAATACCGGAGACTTGGAAATTTATTTTAAAAATAAACAATTATTTGTCTAGTTGTTCTGGAAGTTAGGGAAGTTTAAGAGCATGGCACTCTCATCTGCTCAGCCATCTGGTCAGGGCGTTTTCTTGCAGGGTCATCAGATGTCAGAGGATATCACACGGGGGGGAGCAGGTGAGCCAGAGACTTCTGATTTTATAACAAAACCACTTATGTGATACCCAGTAATCATTCATTGATTCACTAGTGAAACAAAGGCCTCATGAATCAGTCACATCTTAAAGCCCCTGCTTCCAATACCATTATACCATGCATTTGGGGATTAAGTTTCCAACATATGAAACTTGAGAGACACATTTAAACCATAAGTCATTTCTAATTTGGTGGTACCTTCAAAATAAAAGGTTTGCTTGTCTGAGCTACCCAAGTCCAGGACTTTTAAGATGAAATGTTTAGGGCCAGTGAAATGGCTCATCAGGTAAAGGTGCTTAAACCAAACCTGATGACCTGAGTTCAATCCCTGGGACCCATACTGTGGAAGGAGAGAACCAACTCCAGAAAGTTGCTTTGTGACCTCCACACATGTACACCCACAAACATACACAGAAACACAAACAAATAAATGCAATAAAAATAGAATAAAATAATAAAATAAAGAGAAGTATTTAGGGATTCTCAATATCTCTCCAAAATTTATCAGTGAGCAACCACTTTCTTCATTAATGGTATTAATTGGATGGAGTTAGGAGTTTGGCTTATAGGGTATTATACATGCATTCATGTAGAAAGAAAAGATTTGTTTCATAAAAATAAATATTATGCCGGGCGTGGTGGCACACGCCTTTAATCCCAGCACTTGTGAGGCAGAGGCAGGCGGATATTTTCGAGTTTGAGGCCAGCCTGGTCTACATAGTGAGTTCAAGGACAGCTGGGACTACAAGGAAACCCAGTCTCAAAAAAAGCAACAAAAATATTGCCTACATAAGCTTCACCATAATAAAAGCCCAAATATGATACTGGCCTCTTTAATAAGGTATCAGGCTCTTCTCTACTTAGCCGGAAATACTATGCTTTGTAAGGAACAATGATACATTAAAACAACTCTCAGAACTTGATTTCCTCTCCTTTGCAAAGACTATCTTCAAAAAGTATCACCAAATTGATAAGTTATATATGGAGAAATTAAAATACTAAATAAGGAAGTTATTTCAATAAATGTGCAGAAAGGTAAGAATTATAGTCACTCATGCTTGAGTGAGTAAATGCTACAGTGAAGTCATTGACAATATTTTTTGCCCCCAAACTGGAAAAAATGTATGCCTTATGAAATAAAAAAAAAGATGAATGTACAATGATAAAAAAAACATTCGTGGAATGTGATAAACAAAAAAATATATAAAATTTAAAGAAAATCGTGAATACTTGGTTCTTTCAAGCAAATTAAAACACAAAACAAGTTTGCACTTTGAGAATAAACAGCTGGGCAGTTTTACAAGACAACCTCCAAGTGCCACTGTTGGCCAAAAAGAAGAGACGGATTCTCAATTCTGCAGGAGTCCAGCCAGTGCTTTCCTGCTTTTCCAGAACATAGGACAACACCTGCCCTGTTCCTGCGTACCCTCAAGAGCCTCTCAAATGCTACTCTCAAAACATAGAAATCTAAGGCATTGATTTTTCTTTAAAAAAAAAAAAAAAACACCAAAGAAACCTTGCAAAGAAGCTTCCTGGTGAGTTCAAGAACTGCAGAGCAACACCAGAGGCATTGAAATGAAGGAAAGTCAGGTACTATTTCCCTTCCTGCTGTCTTTGTTCTGTGGCTCCATCTCCAAGATGATCAGATACTCTATTCCAGAAGAGCTGGCCAAGGACACTCCAGGGGAGAACCTTGCCAAGGATCTAGGGCTCAGTATCCAGGAGTTGCCAGCTCGAAAACTGAGTTAGTGCAGAGGATTATTTCAACGTTAGTGTGGACAGCGGGGTTCCATTAGTGAGTGGCAGAATAGATAGAAGATATGTGGAAGGAAATCTGAGTGTGCCCTGGAATTTGAATCAGTTACTGAAAATCCAATTAATATTTTTCACATAATCGTTGCAATCCAAGATATTAATGATAATGCACCACATTTCGTTGCAAAAGGCATTGAATTAGAGATCTGTGAATCAGCCCTACCAGGGATAAAGTTCCCTCTGAATTCTGCACAAGATGCAGATGTAGAAAGTAACTCATTA